AATCAGAGTCCTAAAGCTTTTGTTATTGGTTCAGTATACATGCTTCAGATGCCACTAATTTTTTTTTTAATTTTTAATTTTTATTTTATGCAAGTTAAGTGCATAAGATATATTTTTTTCCTCTTCCACTTTCAATGCACATGCCTCTGCCACTCACTCTACCCAGTTAACCCTACCACCAGGCAGCTCTTTGTACATAAGTCCTGTTCGAGCCCCATTTTTGGGGGAAAATAGGTTTTGGAATGGTGATTATTTGGAGAATGTGTGGCTAAAAAATAGAGAAAAATTTTGGGTTTACATATAAAATTATTTTATGGGAGAATGTGTGGTTGAAAATGAATTTTAGAAAAAAATGAGTTTTGGGAAAAATGGAGCTCAATCGTAGGCATTGTGTTGACTCACTGAAATGTACATTGCAATTTTGTACTGAGGTTCCCATTTTAAGCAACCGATTGGAGGTTAAGATAAGATCGACTTTTTCTACTCTTGCACTTTCGGAGTTAAGACATATACATGGCAATTAAAGAATAATCCTCCGGTTACTCTACTTTTGTTGTCTATGTTTGTTTTTTGGATTTTTGAATTATTATTTTCCTTATAAATTGATAGTTAAATCAAATTTCATTTATTTATTCAGATGACATGTTAGTAGGCACTCAAACACATTTATGATTGTCGGGATGTTATTGTGAATGAGAGTTATATTTATTTCCTTGCAGCTACAACTACAATCTTTAATGGAAACCTTGAGTTCAACAGAACCTCACTACATCAGATGTGTGAAGCCAAATAATGTTCTCAAGCCCGCTATTTTTGAGAATGTGAACATAATGCAGCAGCTGCGATGTGGTGTAAGTATATATTGGTGAAACGTCATTTTACTGAAATTATCAGTTTGGCCTAACAAGCAGACTAACTTTAGTAAGTTTTTTCATTTTCCTTATGACTGAATATGTGCTAAAATTTTCTTCACATCATTCTAGGGTGTGCTCGAAGCTATCAGAATCAGCTGTGCGGGATACCCAACTAGACGCACTTTTGATGAGTTTCTTCTCCGGTTTGGGGTTCTTGCTCCAGAAGTTTTGGGAGGAAAGTGAGTTGTTTTTTCTTCTTTGGCTTCATATCTGTATGTACTTGGGGCTGCATTTGTCTTCTATCCATCTTCTTCTGGCATTAGCTTTGCTTTATTGGCGTCGTTTTTGTATGAGCCATAAAATATTCTCATGCAGCTCCGAAGAGAAGGTTGCATGCCAAATGATTTTAGACAAAATGGGATTGAAGGGCTATCAGGTACATTTGATTCCTGTATGTTAAATTGTTGAATTATAGAAGACTTATGTTGCTGGATAGTGGGACTTCAAAGAATGTTTTGTACGAGTGCTAATTATTGCCTCTATAAATTTTAATTTTCCCTCATCAGAATTCTGAAGATTGCGTGACTGGTAAATTGGTATTGGTTATGTACCTCATAGAATCTACTTTTAACACTTATTTCACAGTTGGATATCCAGTTTGGACTTTATGATCAACTTTGTTCATGGCCTTGCATTCTCGGGGCATGGAATCCATTGCTTTTATATTCTTTCATCAAAATTGTTCTTCTCCATGCATTAAAAAGTGCCTGGTTCTCTAAATCAGCTTTTAATGTTTATGGTGATGCTAATGACATTTGAATAGCATTTCCTAATTTTTCCCTGCCAAACATGTGAGAAGATAATGATTGATTATTAAACTGTTTTTATATGGGTATAGCAGGAAGTAGAAGTATCATTTAGAAAGTTTGACTTTTGACGTGTTGCTATTCTATTGGCTATAACAACTTCCTGGAGGCAGGAATATAGTTGATTGACTTTCATCAATTTACCAATGCTGTAATGGAGTTTCCTTTCTACTTATTCATATTGTATGCCTGGATTTGCAGTTAGGCAAGACAAAGGTCTTTCTACGAGCCGGTCAGATGGCTGAGCTAGACGCAAGGAGAGCAGAGGTTCTTGGAAATGCTGCCAGAACCATTCAAAGGCAAATTCATACTCACATTGCACGGAAGGAGTTCATCTCATTGCGCCGAGCGGCCATTCAATTGCAGTCATGTTGGCGAGGTATCTCTCAGTAATTATGTATTTAATTTCTACCTCATTCTTAGCTCAAGAGTAAGTACTTCTAGATATGGAAACAATGTACTAGTTCTCAGAAATGTAAAAGAGTGACTAGCAATTTTGCAGACTAGATTATTGAGTTCCTAAGTAACTTAATGGCGAAATTGAATTTGCATATATGCCTTGTACAATAGACAAGGATTTCACTGGGTTAGCTCATTGCAAAGTGTGAGCTTGCAAGCCCTAGGAAATGGTGCATGAACTCCTTGATTTGGTGTGTTGACGCTTTCTCGGATTGAAAAGGTTTTCCATTCACACACATATATAATTGCAACACATTGACAGTTGTATCGTGTTTGTGTAGCTTTTGAAGGATAATTTGAAAAGATAATCCCTGATGAGTGGCAATTTGCTTACATATCTCATTTTGATGAGATCTTATTAACTGCTTCATCTGGCAGTTAAGAAATTCCTGGCACAAATTGTAACTCTTGTTCTTCTTTGGTCATTTAGCTATTGCGGCTTGCAGACTTTATGAGCAATTGCGTCGTGAAGCCGCAGCTCTATATATTCAGAAAACTTTCCGATGTTACATTGCTTGGAAGTCCTACTTAACCTTGCTGGATTCTGCTATTATATTGCAAATGGGCATGCGAGCAATGTCTGCTCGAAATGAATTCAGATTCAAGAAGCAGACCAAGGCTGCAATAAGAATTCAGGTTAACCGAAAATCCTTTTAAGGTTTCGTGGACTTGGAGAATGTAAGATAATAGATCTCATATCGAATTTTGATCCTTCCATTTGTCTTTTGCTTGCAGGCTCATGTTCGTTTGCACAGAGATTATTCTTACTACAGAAGTCTTCAGAAGGCTGCTATTGTTACTCAATGTGGTTGGAGGCAACGGGTTGCTAAGAAAGAGCTCCGAAAGCTCAAAATGGTTCTAGCTCTATTCTTCATGTGCTTTCATCCCTGTGGAAAAATGTTATTAGTTTGCATAATTACGTTTGTGCATTGACTCAGGCTGCGAGGGAAACAGGAGCCCTCAAAGAAGCAAAAGACAAGTTAGAAAAGAAAGTAGAGGAGCTTACATGGCGCTTACAGTTCGAGAAACGATTGAGGGTAAACTTGTTTAGAGAGTTCGTTTCTGATTTACTGAACTCGACTATCACCATGCTCCTTATCTTTTGTCTGTCGAATGCAGAGTGAGTTGGAAGAGACAAAAGCACAAGAAATTGCAAAGTTACAGGAGGCATTGCACTCAATGCAAATACAAGTAGAAGAAGCAAATGCTAGAGTAATAAAAGAACAAGAGGCAGCACGAAAAGCAATTGAAGAAGTTCCTCCAGTTGTTAAAGAGACCCCAGTTATGGTTCAAGACACGGCAAAGATTGACGCATTAACAGCTGAGGTAGAGAGTTTGAAGGTAAGAACCTTACAGTGGACTGGAATCATTACGTGACAACGGAATATTGGCATACGCTACTGTGTCACCAGACTGCTATATTTGGACATATTAGCATAATTTCTTTACTTAATTAAGATATAGACTCTCCCAAAGAGGACCAAGTGCAAATTTCAACAACGTATGCTTCACCTTCAGAGATCCCAGTAGACTAGTTAGTGTCTGATATTTCCATCGTCAGATATATACAGAGCATTTAACTGTTATTTAGGCTTTTCTCTTCCCATAAAAATGACTATTTTCCCCTTGAGAAAGCACTATAGATGTATCTTTTGAGAGGGTATCCACAAACATGTAGCAGATGAACTCATTGACGAGTCTAAGTTTACAAGTCTCTACAGTTGTGAAAAAGTCAAGATCCTAGTCATCAGAACAGCATAGAAAATAGACTCAGAGAACCACTGGTATGACAAACTTCAATAAATTGTACAGGCCTTGCTGCTACCAGAAAAACAGGCTGCCGGAGAGGCTAGAAAAGCTTGTGCTGATGCTGAGGCCAGAAATATGGATCTGACTCAAAAGCTTGAAGAAGCAGAAGGAAAAGTTCATCAGCTTCAAGAATCTGTACAGAGGTTTGTATCCATAAATTGGAAATTAGAATTCAATGAGAATTATTTTTCTTATCCACTATATAGGAGGGAACCTACCACCCATCTCGTCTGTGTTCCTGAGGCTTCCTTTTTGTGATTATCTGTACTTAATGTTGAGAATCCAAAATAACTTGCCTAATCTTGGAGCAGCAATGACCAATTTTTCTCTCGAACTAGCTTATGTTTAGTGCTCAAGTTGCATGTAAACATGTTTACACATGAAACTACTCTCACACCTCACCCCCACCCCCCCACCCCC